CCGCTTCGGTGGGTTCCGGGTCGACATAGACCCCCAGAGGTTCGATCCCCAGATCCTTGTCTACCTCATCCGGAGTGGAGCTGGTCTGTCCCTCATCCGGAACCCGGTCGGCGAAACCTTCCCGGAATCCTTAAGCATACCTAAGAGCACCGACCCTTGAGAACCGAGCGTGAAGAGCCAGCATCCCACCACCCACTCTGCTGATCGCATCGATCAGAGCGGTACGCTCGTCCAGAGCTCTTTTCTCGAAAGTCATCCGAGCAGACTGTTCGTCAGCCAGAAGGCGTTGGAGTTCTGCTTTTTCTTCTCTAATTGATTCACGCTCAGTCTGCCAGACGCTCTTTTCAAGCTGGAGGGCGTCCTTCTCATCCTGAAGGGAATCATTCTCCTTCTTCAGGACATCTCTCTCTTGTTCGGTTTTGTCAAGCCGAGCCAGTACCTCGGTATTCTTCATGGCGAGGAGGTCGTTTTCTTTATTAGCCACCTCCAGGCTGTCAGAAAACTTACGGGCCCTGGCGTTCCCCATCTCCACCTGCTTCTGCATGGCCATCATTCCGAACAATGTTTGCATAGGTGCACATTAAAAACGGTTAAGCCAATAGTCAGGTCGGGCGAAGGCAAGACCAAATAATATGAGAGAATTCATGAGTTGGAAAATAAAAGTCACCTCCATAGCAGATTGGGGAAAGCGGCTGAACACATCCTTCTGGGAAAGGCCCTTTGCCGCCTCAAGGTCCTTCGGAGTCCACATGCTCCTGTAGTAGGCCATAGCGGTCTGGCCATCCTTCAGCATGGTCTCGTTCGGTTTCACGAACGTCCCATCCGTTCGGGTGTACCGAGGGGCCCATGGCGGTAAGGTGGGGATAGAAGGGGGGCCTGAAGCAGAAGCGGAGCCACCAGCTGCAGCAGGCCCAGAGGGAGCAGGAGCTCTGATCGCTCGGTGCAAGAGAGCACCCGCCCCGGAGACCCGGGTCCTTCTAATGAGAGGCTCCTCCTCAGGATCGACTTCACTGTCAGGATGAGGCCTTTTGCCTCGTTCCTTGTCCCGACCGCCCCCCGCAGCAGCAGGAGCTATGGTAGCTTGGGGAGACGCGCTCTGGTTGGCAGCAGGGGCGCTGGCAACAGGGTTAATAGCCACTGTGCTCGGGACAGTGTCAGAGATGGTGGCCGAGGAAGAGGCTGACGCTGGAGAGGAGGTCGCCCCAGCAGCAGGAGTGGCTGGGGGAGTATTTTTCTTCCTGCCAAAAGAAGGGATTTGAAGTCTGCTCATGTTGTAGCCGAGTGATGAGAGCGCTAAGAGGTTGTCTGAAGTGAGGAGATCTGAGCAGGAAGGAATATCGTTCAGAACGTATTTCTTCAAGTAGTTACTCCTATCCCTGCAAACACTATAGCTCAAGTCATCACAAGGTATTCCTAAGGAACGGCATAAGAAAGTGCAAAAACGAGGAACGCATGTTTCGCAGGGGCAATCATGTTTATGAGATTTGAATTTCTTATAGGAGGAGACAGAACAGACACCAAAGGCGCTCGGGATTGGGTAACCCTCTGCAGCCGGCGAAGACCAAGCCCCACTAATGCCCACGATGCTATCCCTCCAACCCTTCTCAGATTTTATTGTGTCCGTACATATGGACATCTTCTCGAACGGGTAGAGGTGGTAGAAGGGTTCGTTAGTACGGATCTTACTGACCTTATAGCACAGAAGAAGGTCTATGAGATCAAGGTCAAGATTTCTGTCACGCATCAACAAGAGCATAACAGATATGATTCTAAAGAAGTTGGGGTTGACCTGCAGAGGGGATATCCCCAATCTATTGAAGACATAACTAAAGAAAGGGTGCAGAGGGAACCTAACAACATTCAATTGAAGGTTCGTGAATAAGACTTCGCCGGGCAGGAGGCCGGCGCCGGTCATAATGTTAACGTCCTGAGGGCAAACCCTAACTTCGATGTTGTCAGGAAGTCTAAGTCTCATACGAAGAACATCCAGATCTACAACCATGGTGGAAGTGCTTGAAGAATCTAAAAGGGGGTAAATGGAAGCCTGCCGAAAGTAAAAAAGAACGAAACTAACCTCGGAGGACTGCAAGATCGCTGGAAGAATGACTCTTGAAGGATTTCACCAGAAAAAGCTTAGCACTGTTCTAGAAAGAGAGAGACTTGACTGATGATGGAGACGGTAAAAGGACGTGAAGTGGTGTTCTAGAGCATTATAAAGGCGAGGGGGCCCGAGGGCCGAAGCGTTGGGAAGGCGAGAAATTTCTCGAGCCCCGGAACATTGATTCTGGATCTGACCGTCCGTTCCCCCACGTGGTTATCTCGAGCCGTCAACATCATGATGAGACGCCATCAATAATTACCCCTTATTAAATAAGGGGCAATTATGGGGGCAGTTGAGGAGGCCCCGGACGACATGGGCCGGATCCGACTTGCAAACACTACATTCAGTCCGTACAGCTGGGTCGGCCCATATAAAGACACTGCCATATGGGCCGAACGCGAGTAAGCCCATCAAAGGTGACCAGGACTTATGGAGGAATAGGCCCAGATCCAGCAATCAGTCAATATCTTGTAAATATCTTGTAAATATCTTGAAAATATCTATAAGTAGGATAAGGAATAAGGAGGAGGGGGATCTTTTGGAGTTGGGGTGTAAGAATTCTAGAGAGAGAAAGAGGGGAACGAATTTCTTGCATCTTCAAAGATAGATCCAACTTGTTGATGGAGTAATAACAGCTTCTTCCAATTCCATGATTTTTTGCCGAGGTACGTTTATTTCTCAGAAATTCCTTCCCCTAATTAGATGTGCTTTGCCCCACTGTGCCCATATGCCTTTCTGACTTATTTGATCTACATATACTGTAATGAAGTAGATTATTTTTCATGTTGTGGTAAATTTTACTTCCAACGCCTTTTTATGGCACTGTCCTCACCTTTGCCTCAGACACACCCTTTTTTTTTTCAGTAATTGGTAGTAAGTTGTATAGAAGGAGAGAAAACTGTACAAACAAACATCCCTACAGCGAGCTGAGCAACATAGAAAGAGTCCAAAGCTTAAAGCTTGGAAGCAAAAGAAACAATCTATAGCCTAACAAGGGGGAAACACTTATTCGCAAATTGTTAATAAGGGAATGTGCAACCACCTAAGTCTGAAGGTTTTGAAAGTTCCAGAATTCATCCAAATTGTTAAGATACTTGATAGCTGTAATTAGAGTTTGAGGAGGAGAAACTTTCCCTATGAAAGCTCTAGCATTTCTCTCCAACCTGGTAGAGTAAAAACAGTGGTATTGAGGATTAACTTATGGATCAAAAACTTCGCAGATTTCTTGGAAGAATTCCAGTGAACAATGATGCCAGGCCAAGAGTTACGAGAGAGATGAAAGCCAGCAAAGTGTTGAAAGTGAGCTCCATTTGTTTCGACTTAAAATATTCTTTTTTGAATTTTTTTTTTTTTTCAGGTAAAATATTTTTTTATTTTTACTTTGTCGGTATTTGGCAAAAGTCTACGTCAAAGTTAAAGTCGAGTCCATCGGGCGAGACATGTAAAATAACTTGCCGAAAATTTTTAGATAAATTATTTTTGTTAAATTTTAATATTTTTTTTATTTGTAAATATTTTACGACAACCAAACATCAAAAAATAAAAAAAATATTTTACATCCAAACAAACGGAGCCTAAATGAAAGAGGTATATGGGCAGTTGAAGAAGAGATGATTAATGGACTCAAGGGTGACAGGTGCAAAGGAAACAAGTATTGGGGATGTGAAGGTAAGAAATTGAGTTATATCAAGTGTATTAAAAGTCTATTCTGAAAGCTAGCCAATAAATGAAGTTGTGCTTAAGAATACGATTTCTAAACCATAAAATGTGAGACCAACTGCATAAGGGAGCAGGGGAAGCCAAATATATTAGGGTGTTTAGGCACAGTTTAGAAATGCAGAGCTCTTGCTATTTTGATATAAACAAGCGCAAAAGATTTATGCTGCGAAAGGATCGAATGGGGTTTATGAGAACAAGATAAATAATAATAATAATAATAATATAAATATAAATATAAATAGGCGCACACACAATAGGAGATAAGGATTTACGTGGTTCCACTTTTAGCCTACATGTACGGAGAAGATAGACAGAATTTCATTTTGAAATTCAAAATAAGGAGATTAAAAAAAAAAAAAAAAAGAGTGTGGTTCACACCCAAAACCAACACAAAATTCATACTTCACAAGTCATAACATTAAGTGTGAATGTGAGACAAAATGATTTTCATTAAGTGCACTGCCAAATCCATTTGAATGCAATAAATGTGAGCCACATTCAATTGATATAGTGAAAAAAACTGTTTTTGAAGGACAAATTCACAAAAGCTTATGAGCCTCGAGTCACAAATAGGGTTCCCCTCCAACTTCTGCTTTACATAGCTTCTAGGTGAGTGGATTTATTTTCCTAGTTCCTGTTTCGAAATTATCCACACTAATGTATGGGAAGAAGAAAATTATCTCCATTACATATATTCTCTAAACAATATAGCTCTAACGTGGATTTTAATTGATTTCCTTAACAAATAAAGACACTTTCATTAAAACATAATGATTTAAATGCATGTACAACTGGATTTAGAAGTACTAATTTGTGTAACTGTAATAAAAACCACAGTGTACAATTTATTGTAGAACTACAGCAAGAAGAACAAAGTAGACACTTCAACCAAACAACCTTTCAAGGAACTTTGGAACCATACCTTCAAAAATTGATTGACGACTTTCACTTGACATCACCTGGTCTCTTAAACTTCTTGCAAAACCAGTTTACTTGTAGCAGTGTGGCCGTGTAGATCCGGTCTTTCATGTCATCAAGAAACTGAAAATAAGCATGCCTCCAAGTCCTCTTAAAGAAAAGAACACTACAAACTCCCCAAAAGCCAGCAGCGAATCCAGGTCCCATCCCTATATAAAACCAAAACATTTCAGACTCTTCTTTATCTTCGCCCACAGGGACTTCACCTTGAGATTCTCTCTGTGTTGTGCAATTCTTTAAGAGGAGGAGCTCCACAAAGTTCAGCATTGCCGATGAAGCTAGCTTCACCAAAGGTTTGAAGTTGGGTGCTTGAAGGGATTATTCCAGAAAAGTAGTTGTATGACAAATTCAAGTAACAAAGAAATGTCAAATTAGACATGCTCTGAGGAATTTCATCTGACAAATAATTTTCCGAAAGATCAAGGGATTCCAACATTGTCATTCCCCCAATTTTCTCTGGTATCTTTCCCATCAAGTGATTATAAGACAAGTTCAGAAAACGCAATGCATGAAGACTTGATAGCTGAGGAGGGATTGGCCCAGACAGGCTATTACTTGAAAGGTCTATGCTTCTAACAAGTTTAAGAATGCCTCTGTACTCTGAGTCCCTCCCTTTTGTGACCAACCGCATTGCCTCAATGTAGAAGCTTTTGACGTAGTAGCCATTGATGTAATAGTCATAGTTATACATATAATCTAAAGCTTCAGAATAATCAGAATCTGAAGTATCTATCGCAGTCATCGCACTGAAATAATTCAAACAATTTGCAATAGTTCCTGACAGGCTATTGTTGGCAAGGTCCAGAACTATAATAGAATAAAGTTGACATATTTGTGGAGGAATATTGCCGGTCATTTTATTGGATTTCAAGCGAAGAGCCATTAGAGTTGTGACATCTCCCATCCAGCTTGGTATGACTCCTGAAATTTCATTTACACCTAAATCAATGAGCCTCAATAGTTTGCAGTTTTGCAACGACACAGGTATCTCTCCGAAGAAGCTATTATCATGCAAGTGCAATGATTTGAGATTAGTTAAATGACCCATTGAAGTAGGAATTTTACCAGACAGCTTATTGCTCCCCAAGTTTAAATGGGTTAATGATTGCCAATACATCCAGCAATTAGAAAGTTCACCTGATAGAAGGTTATTTGACATGTCCAGAAGCTGTAAGTTATTGTTTCTATTCAACCTCTGGCACAGAAAAGAGGGAATAGGTCCGGAAAGAGTGTTGTTTTCCATGTTCAACACTTCAACATTTGGAGATAGACGTGGCAACTGGCCCTTGAAGCAGTTGGAACTCATTTTAATGACCCTCGAGTTTAGCAAGACGGTTGTTACGTCATCATTGATCCAGTTGTTTGAGAGATTGATCACTTCCATATGTGCAGCCAAACTCCAAAACCAATCTGGAGCTGCATCAGAAATTCCCGAAAGCGAAATGTCTAATTGCTTAAGAGAAGTTTGTGTTCGTAACCATGCTGGAAACTTTGGACCCAACTTGCAGGAACTCATTGAAAGATACTCAAGTCGAAAAGGAGGAAACCAGTTGGAGCTGAAATTGAAGATGAAAGAGTTTGAAGACATTCCCAGAGCCTTCAATTTTGAGAGAGTAGCAAAATTCACTTCAGAAACAGTGCCTTCTAACGTATTATCTTCAATGGATAAGATCTCTAGATTTGTATGAAGCCAGAGACTCTTTGGAGGAGTGCCATGCAGTTGATTATTAGAAAGATCAAATAGCCACAAGAATGGGACCAGAAAATGAGTTCCCAGAAAGGCGAAGATATTCAAGATGTTTCAGCTGGCCAATCTCATCTGGTATGTGACCATGTAGAGAATTGTACGACAGACCAAGAGAAAGAAGACTAGTACTGAGATTAAACAGCCAATTAGGTATCTTGGAATCGAAAAGGTTGAAAGAAAAATCAAGGACTTGAAGAGACGTAAAATTAACAAAACCAAGAGGTGTAATCATTTTGTCAAGTAGGCAATTGGAGAGATGAAGTTGTGAAAGGGAAGGAAGCATGCTCACCACTTCAAGCCAATCAGTTACCTTGTGAAGATCAACGCTACTCATGTCAAGGTATTCCAAGGAATAAAAGCGAGCAATCCAACTAAGATTATCAACATAAAGTGTATTTAGACCAAGATTAAGATATCGAAGGCTTGAGAGATTTCCAAGCTGATGAGGAATCGCCCCTACAAATCCTGCGTTCGAGAGGTTCAGAGACCTTAAACTTCTCATAGAACCTAAGAAACTTGGAATACTCGTGCCATGAAAGTCATTCCAGCTCAAGTCCAAGTATCTTAGAAATTCTAATTTGAGCAATGGGGTAGTAATCTTGCCACCCAACCTGTAAGAATCATGTGCACTGAGGCGGAGCTCAATGACTCTGCCTGTTACATTGTCGCAGTGGACTCCAGCCCATTGACAGCAGTCTTGATGTACAGACCATGAGGATAGCCTGTTTGCAGTCGTGAGACCTTGTTTGAAGCTTAGAAGTGCTCTTTTTTCCTTTTCACTGCAAACAACACCAGCTGCTGGTTGTCCATCAGTTGAGCTAAAGATGGAAGTGGCTGCTACTAGAAACCAAAACAAGAGTAGCACAGCAATTGCAATGAAATTATTCATGATCATGTATGTGATCAAAAATGAAGAAAAGTACTGAACAAGTTCAGAAGGGCATCTAGACTGGTGAAGATAAACTGTTGTCTGATAGAGGAGGAAGAGACTTTCATTCAAGACTAACGCGAGCCATGCGCGCGCATCACGGACAAGCCAAGGTCGATTGCTGCGACTTGGAATCTTCCGAGCGCAATCATCGCTACCCTTTTTGGTGCTAGTTCTCAGCTCAGCTTGGCTGGGTTTTTTCATTGCCTTTGGGCTTCTGTTGGGGCCTGGCCCTCCCTTTTGTTCCTTTTTGTTCTATTTAATAAATTTTAACTTACCCCAAAAAAAAAAAAGTTCTTGGACAGAAAGTCTTGGCGTTTACTCTTCCACTCTCATTTTCAAGTCTTCCACTTCTTCGTTTTTTTTTTTTTTTTTTTTTTTTTTTGTTGCCAAAATTATGTAGTAAACTTAAAAATACATTATAAAATTCTGTAGTTTTAAAGTGTGCAATGAAGTAGTTGAAAGGGGGTGAAATTTGTCCAAACTCCAAAAATAATCAATTTAAACAATAATTATTAATCTATTGTTCACTTGATTTTTTAGTTATAATCAAATAAAGGACTAAGTATCCAAAATAACTCTAGGTTTACTTTTTGAACAAATAACAGTTTTTTGTTTTTTTTTTTTTTTTTTTAACTTTGGGTATACAACTCCTTAAAAATTTAAAAATGTTGTAAAGAATGATTTTTCGATTGTTACTGTCACGCCCTAGAAATTCTAATAAAATTCTCGATTTTATACAAATTTAAATATATCAAAATATACCCAGGATCATAAAAAAAATACTCTCTTTTATACAACGTCAGATTCCTCAAAAATACAAAAAATTCTCCAAATAATAAAAACAAAACTCGCAATGTTAACTCTTCAGCCTAAACTCGAATCTAGCGATCCCCATCCATCTTCGGTACCTGAAACTGGAGGGTGGTGGGACAAAAGTCCCAGTAAGAAAAACCATAACAAGAATTTCACGGAGGTTTAACAAAACAACTTCACAAAATAATCATATACAGGTGAGTATAAACAAAATTAATATACATTTAATCAAAACATTTCATAAAACATTTAATCAAAATCTCCCCACGTCATTCAAGGTATAGAAAACCCTACATTGAAAAATTTTAATTTTTCACTAAATCACCAAGTCTCTAAACTTTCCTTGCGCCTTCTGAAACTCTCGACTCACTCACTGTCGGCTCAAACTCTATGTCTCCACTCTTTTTTTTCTCGGTTCACTCTCTCTGTCTTTCAAATGACTTAGTGGCACACAACGCACATTAAATAGGCAAATGCACCGACTCCTCCCACAAAAACTCACCACAAAATAAGGCCACGAAAATAAAATAAAATAAAATAAAAATCCAAATCAAAAAGTGGTCTGCCAAATTTTATCATTACTTTTCAATACAAATTCTTCACTCCATCAGAACTCACGTGAAAGGAATCAGAACCAAACAAATACTTCAACGGACAATATATATATTTGTAGAACATCAACTCAGACCCATTTCTCATTTTATTTAATGTATATCATCCAACCACTCCATCAGTCAACAAAAGAAAAACAAGCCACGTGAATGAACCAAGAATTGTGGCCAAGGAAATCCTTTTGTGGGCCCCACCACACTACTTTTTCCTTTCCTCTTTTTCCACCTTTTTCTTTTCTTTCGGCCAGCCCACCTTCTAATCCATCTTCTCTTTCCACTACCCCGCTCAGCACAATAAAACATTACATATATATATATATATATAAATATATATAATATGCAGCAAAAACCAAATACAAATCCCATTTCTCTTGCTCTCTTCGGCACCACCTATGCAGCAAAAACCAAATACAAATCCCATTTCTCTTGCTCTCTTCGGCACCACCTGTCATCTGAAGCAAATATATATATATATATATATATATATATATATAAATCATATATAATCAAATTAACCCATTAAATCTCAAATCTCAATTGGACAAATCTCCAATTTAAATAAATACACAATCTTGACAACATAAAAATCATAAAATAAATATAAATTAAATTTTAAAAATCAAGGTTATCACAGTTACCGTTAAAAATACACCGTTAAAAAAACATGTGCCTAACGCATAACTGATTAAATTTAAAAATATCAAAATTACCCTTTATTGATTCCCAAAACGGCCTTCCCTTTTGTATATAAATCTCAAAAATAAAGTATATAATAGTAATTTTACGTTAACTTAAATATATTTTTTAAAATTGTAAGAAAGTCATTTTAGTATTTTTATCACCCTATTAACGTCCAATTGATGAGATGTCCTTATTTGCCCCTACAATAAATGTTAAGAGATTTTCAAAACCTATAAAAAATTATATGAGTTATATGCATACTACATGGTGTTAAATACTCGCAAACCTTAAATAAATAATAATAGTATACCCATTAAAAATCTATATATACTGTACACACATGCTTTAAATTGTATTCAGGAAAAAAAAAAAAAAGTTTGTTTTAAGATTTAATAATGAAATATTAATCTCTATTATAATTTAAAATGAATTTTTATATTTGTAAAAATTTTATAGTGAATCATTGTACCAATCATGTTATGTTTTTTTTTTTTTTTTTTTTTTTTTTTTTGGGTAAAATGTACCAATCATGTTGATGGGCTATTATGGCCTTTTAATAGAAATCATTGTACCAATCATGTTAAAAACTGATTTCATTTGAAAGTTTAATGTCTAATTTTTTTTTTTTTTGAAATTTGTGTAAAAATATTACTCTCCGTGTTTCATATTAATTGTCAATTTTTTAAATTATTTTAAGTACATTAATTGTATATTTCTTTAAAAAATTAAAAATTGACAACTAATATGAAATAAATAATAAGAAAATTTAGCATTGTTCACATGTTCTTTGTTTTAGAAATAAAAAATGTTCGACTTTTGAATATATATGCACCGACACGTACAGTACGAGATGAGATTATATTGCAACGAGTTCCTGCAAGATGGGACCAAGTTTCCAGCATGGCTAAGAACACAAACTTCTCTTAACCATTTAGACATTTCGTGTTCTTTCGTGTTCAAGAAATTCTGATGCCGCTCCAGATTGGTTTGGGAGTTTGGCTTCACGTATAAAAGGGTGGAAACCAATTCGAGCTGAAATTGAAGATGAAAGAGTTCAAAGACACATTCCGAAACTTCAATTTTGAGAGAGTATCAAGTTTCACTTCAGAAACAATGCCTCCTAAGGTTTTGTACAAGGACACTAGATTTGGAAGAAGCCCAAGACTATTTGGAAGAGTTCCATGCGGTTGATTACTAAAAAGACACAACACCCTTAAGGATATATAGTAAGTTTTCGAGAGATGCAGGAATGGGACAGGACAATGAGTTGCTAAAAAGTAAAATATATTCAAGATATTTCAGCTGGCCTAGCTCAATTGGGATGTGACCGTGTAGAGAATAGTCGCTCAGAGCAAGAGATTCAAGATGTTTCGGCTCTCTAATCTCATCTGGTACGTGACAGTGTAGAGAATTGCAGCTCAGATCAAGACAAGAAGACTACTAGTAAGATTAAACAGCCAATTAGGTATCTTGCAACTGAAAAAGTTTGCAGGAAAATGGGATTTCAAGAGACGTAAAATTAACATAACCAAGAGGTGTAATCATTTTGTGAACAACCCACTTGTAAAGGTTTTCGAAGGAATGAAAGCGAGCAATCCAACAAAGATTATCAACAGAGAGTCTATTTTCATCGAGATAAAGAGTTAATCAAGCTTTTGACTAGTGTTGTACCTTTTGACTAGTGTGTGGCTCTAGAAGCTGTTACATTTCAGTACTTTCAGCTGGAATATGAATAAGCTCCCCCGAATGACATAACTAATTTTAAGGTTGGATAGTAAAAATACAATGTTCACCCTGCATAAAACTACAATGAACAATTTTATATGAGTTACATATTTCTTCGCTGTTTCCCTAAAGCGAACTACAGATTTAAATATACGGATTACATTTGCAATATAGCATTCACATTATTAGAAATATGAATAAAGAATCTTTAAATACAGATGAGAAAAAGAGGATAAATTGCTGGTAAAAAAAAAAAAAAAACAGATTATTCTGATCAAACCAAGGATATTGAAATTCCTAATATTCTAGTTAATGAATTAACAATGGTCGATTTATAGTTTCCAAGATAATATTTTTCAGAAAAATTTAAGTAGAATATCTCTTTAATTGTAATCATCTCTATCGCTATGCCTCTAGCTGTTAGGGATCATTGATTCGAATTCAAGCTAATTCCCTCAAGCTACTTATCAAAATAAATAATTTAGTAATAACATCGAGGCTCAACCATTTCAAGCAGAGAAAAGTAGGAAAAAAGTAGCAATGCTGATCCGAGGAAGGGCAGATATTTATTCAGTCTCGCAAAATTTGAAAGTCCCATGGAGTAGACCAAATCTCTATTCGCGATCGCACTCCCTTAGTCACTGAAATGGTGTCACCTCCAGGGGATATCCCACAACAGTCGCTGCGTCCTGCCCATCCAAAAAACCAGATTAAAATGTTTTCACCTAACACATGTTTATTGCACCATAATAGTGAATTTTTATGTTAATTGATTACACTAGGTTTTCTTATTTATTGTGATTTTTTCTCATCTACAAGTTCATACAGAAGATTAAACAGCAAGTTACTAACTGATAATCAAAATTTGTGCCATTACCCAGTGAGATCCTGATCTCTTGCATGAAACAAAACCTTACTATTCCGGTGATTTTCATTTCAATTCAGTTGTTAGGAATGCAGCCAAGAGAGGAAAGGCAGAGCAATTCATAATATTTTAAGGCTCGAATATCCATATATCCTATAATTATGGAACAATTTAAAAGATCACGTGTATCATCTTCCACACAATTTGAATTTGTCAAAAGCTTCCCCATCCCGGATCATATAAGCACTGCATTGAAAAATTTTAAATCTAGGCAAATATCTTCTAATGGTGAATGTACAGTTAAAATTAGGGCATAAGAAATAGACAGAATGCAATTTCAAACCAAATGCAGGCCCAAGTTTCCAGGGGAAATCATTTTTTACACTTTCCAAGAAAAGCTAGTCGGTGAGAACTCAAAACATGCCTTCCAGTGCTTGTATGTTGTCTCTGTCTTTGCCAAGGAAGTGAGTAATCAGTGCAGTGTGTGTACAGTAAACCTAAACCAA